GGGGCTCAGGGAGAATCTCCTGGAGGAATAGACATTTAAGCTCAACCTTAAAGAAGACAGCAAGGTGGAAGGATGAGGAAACTCATATGATAGGAAAGAAGGTAAAAGAGTGAGTTTAGGGAAGAAGGTGTGACTCTGGAGCAGAGAATGTGAGTGATGGGCTAGAGGTGGAGGACAAGGAGCAAGAACAAGGCTGCAGAAGTAAGTTAGGGCCAAGACCATAAACAGTCTCAAGTGCATACCAAGATTTGGGGCCATATCCTGACAGCAATGGGTAGCCACTTTAATATTAATTCTATAATGTTTGTTTTGGCTGCTCTTTGGAGAACGGAGTTGAGATGGACAAGACTGCAGGAAGGGAAGCCAGCCTCGATCCAAGCAAAGGATTTCAGTAGCATGAAATACAGTAATGAGAGTAGAGATGAATTCCAATGTTGCAGGCAGTTCTTGCTAGAGCCCCTTCATTTTGATGTTGCTGGCTTTGAGCTGTTTTCACCCACAGGGACTGAGCATAGAGAAGCTCCATAGTGAGAGCTGGTTCAGCACACTGTGTCTGCAAAAGGAGTCTTTCTAGGGTCTCATGTCAAATCACTAAGTCCAAGCTTTGTAAATGTGTTTTACTACAGGCAGCAGTTCTTTTGGTCGAGGCTGAGACAGGTGTTGGAAGTTTATTTTAGGGCACGCAGCAAAGTAAGGAAGCAGAGAAAACTGCCTTGACAGTGATAAAACCAAGCTTCATGGGGCACTGAGATGTTCCTCAAGACCCCACAGTAACCCAAGGCTCAAACCCATCTGCTAGCCAGCACTTTTCTGCTTCTGCTTTTATGCCACCATCAACCACCAACTCCCTGGGCACGACACAGCTTCCACTGCCTCAGGGCTTCTGTTCACTGTCTTTTGTGTGTTGGCTTCAGCCTCCACTGCTGAAAGAAAGATTTTCCCAAACCTTGGCAATCCTAAGCCTATATCTTACCAAGAACTCCCCAAACCAGAGGTCATCTCCCTTGATAATTCAAGCAGAAAACTCCTAGGAAGGATTATTATTGATTGTTTAGGGGTGAGGTACCCATCCCTGCATCTGTTATGGGGTTGGGAGCATAGGGATACAGACACTTGGGGTCCTGCCTAACCTCATGCCATGGAGAGAATTTTCCCAAGAAAGCTGTGATCCATTAGCAACCTGAAACAACTCTTTTGCAAAGAAAAAAGTGTCCTTGGCAGGTACTTTGGACTGTCCTGAAGGCAATATTTTCCTAAATATAGGTAACGCCTTTCTCAATGTCAAGTTTCAATTTTTTTCTATTAGAAAATAAAAATTTTTCAGGTTGGAGGTCAGTGGTTTTTCAATAAATCTTAAATCTATAGAACACTCGTCAGACTTTGGGGTATGTTCAGGAAGGAACAAAACAGAAAAAAGACTATTACACACTGTCTTTTTCTCTCTGGAGTCTTTTAGTAACAGACTAGACCAGTCATGTTTGGTTGCAGGTAACAGATACCAACACTGGTTTCTAAGCAAAACAAAACGTATTGGGGGAGTACTGAAAGGAAAGAGACAGGGCATCACTGGGGGCTGTGAAACAGGAATCATAGGCCCAGTAGGCCTCATCGCAGGAACAGTGCATCAGAGCATACCATGGGGATGAAGGAGCCACAGATGCACATGTAGGTGGCGAAATCATAAAGGCAAGCAAGAAAATCATTTTCACAAAAGTCAGGATAACAGTCACCTCCAGAAATAGAGCTAGAATAGGCCACATAATGGGCAGGCCCAGTGCAAAATAAAAGCGCTGGACTGCTTGCTCAAAGATTATAAAGAATTTCAAGATGGCAAATGCAGAGCATGAAACCAAGCACAGGTTGTGTCTGAGCATGGCTGCCTGGGTCACACACCCAGGAAGCAGCCCCTGAGGGAGGGGCACTGAGTGAGGGCTAACAACCTTGGCGGTGGTACATGGGCACTTGCTTTCAGTTGTCTGTAAATCTTTCCTGTAGTATTAGACACTCTTCTTTTAAGTGTTGTTGTATTTCACAATTAAAAAAAAACAGAGCATATCTTTCATCCTGTATCAACTACACAACATTTAAAATGCCAGAAGAAAGAGTCTGAATGGCTGGGTTCGGGTCGGATGTCCTTGCCTTCACTGCCTTAAAAGGATCATAAATAGTAATAACAAAAAGGAGAAGGCAAACAAGCCCAGGGTGAAGAAGGACAGAGACAAGGAGAAGAGCTAACAGTTACTGAGCAGTTGCTACCTGTTTTAGGTGCTATTCTGAATTAACTCTGAGATAGGGGCTTCCCCCTTCAGCTTCCAGAGTAGGAAGTGGGTACGTGGACCTACTGACTACTAAGATCTCACACCGTGGGGGAAAGGTCATTCTCTAAAAGGAAGGTAGGTGGGTATGTTGGGTATAGAAAGGTTGTGGGTAGCCAAGAATGCCCAAAGAAAAGAGGGCTATTCTTTTTTGCATTAAATGATCATTTGTTGGTTTTCAAAATTTAATGCCCAATGTTAGGTAGTACAGAGAGAAGTAAAAGTTGAAGAGTACTGTGACCTTCAAGTTACTATGATATATCACTTAAAAAGGGAGAAAAAAGGGGGGAAACACCTCTAAAGAAAATTCACTGGCAAAGAAATAATATATGAATTGCTTAGTTGCTAAAGATCAGTCTTGGGTGTGTGCAGGCTCATCCTTATCACATCACACACTGCGTACTCAAGGGAGCTGCAGCCCTGCAAAGATGTACTCAGATACCCAAGCCCTGCTAAGAGGGTCAGCTCTTCCACAGCGAGTCTGCCCTCAGAGTTAACCTGACCACAGACATCATTGCTTTTTTGCCAAATGGGAACAGCTGAGGAGCATGTCTACACACATTAGATTCATGGATATGCAAGCCTGCCAAGAGGGGGCTCATGAAGAGGCAGAAATCTGGGAATCCCATTAGTGACAGATGCAACCCAGCATGCATGTCTGGGGAGGCACCGGCTATAGCCTCTGAGATCAAGGCTGATCCATCTTGGATCATGACAGCCACTCCAGGCCAACATAAGACCAGAATGAGGGGGAGACATGTCACAAGGAAGGAGCAGATAAAGCCTGGTGGGTAGCAGCCATCTACTTGCCGCAGAGCAAAGAGGCCAGTTGTTGGAGACAAGGGTTCAAGTCCTTGGAAGTCCTCTAACCTGATGTTTGAATTAAGAACCTGAATTCTACCTCTATCACTTCACCTTAGCAAGTTACTTCACTTCACTCTGATTGTGTCTCATCTGCAAAATGAGAATGACACATTCTAGGGTCGTGAGGATTAAACCAGACCATAGCAATGGTAATTATTGTCAATTGTGTTCTGTATAAAATAAGAGAAAGGATCTCTAAAATCCTTTCTAATGCTAACATTCTGTAACAATCTTAAAGCAAAACTATTTATGACTTTGGATCTCTATCAATAGAAATTTTTATTTCTGTCCAAAGCTGTTCAGTTGGAGGCATTACCTGTACGTGTATTTTCACTTCTGTTATTATGTCTGTTAAAATCTGTGATGCTATTCACCCACTGTCTCATGCAAAAGACCACTATTTTAACCTAACAGCTTTAACACTTGTAATCAGTGCAGCCAAATGTTGAATTGGGAGGGGAAACTTGGAGACCTAATTCATCTATTTTTAATCAGTCCTACCTTTACAGAGAGTTCATTCAGGAAGGGATGAATTGAGACCGAAAGGGGCGCACATAAATGTGAAGACAGCCACATGACAGGAGGATGCTACATTTAGAAGCTCAACCTGGAGATTATACTTTCTGAAAATATTCTTAATGTATATTTTAGTGGTAAATTGTTAACATTCTTCCCATATTTCTTGACCTCAGCTATTCCCTTTCCTCCACTGTGGTTAAGGGTAAAATTCAGAGATGGAGAACATTCAGAGAACCAAGGAGACAGGACTTTGCCTTGTGGTCAGAAAAAAAAAAAGGGAAATTTCAGTTGCTTCGAAGCTGGTCTGTGGGAAGTCAGGGTGGGGAAGGCAGTGGGAGGAGGCCTCTCCAGGGCCCAGCTGAGGCTCTGACTCCCCATTTGTCTTAATTTGGCTTGTGGTTCCACAAGCCCAGGGAAAACACAAACTTGCACTAATGTAGCCCAGGCAAAATATTGGAAGGAAAAAAGCTTAGACATTTTGTGAAAACTGCAGAAAATAAAAGCAATGAACAGCAAGCCAATGAGACTCTCCTGATGGAGATACTGTAATCTTGCAAAGCTAATAAAAGAGCCCTCAGATACATTTTCAAAGGAATTTGCCTGTTTATTGTGGCGTCACATTTATGACCCACATAAGTATCAGTCAACTAATGTCATTATAAAACTCTGATTTATGGGTACTTATATGGGTTTTTCCTCCCACTGGGGCCTCCAATTTAACAAGACCTCCTCACTATGTGCATGAGGAATTCCTGTTTGTCCTGGGAACTGTGGAGGTCCGGTGGCCAAGATGGCTACTGCTGATGACAGTTTTACATCCTCCATTTTTTCAGGGGGCAAAAGTCACATGCATTGCTTAATTCTTGGTAGGGGCTCTCACTCTGCATTATGTTGATAATCAGACACAAAGAATTTCCCTGGAAAAAGCTCTCTAATAAAACTCTGAATAAATCACTTGGGCTGATTCCAGAGGGAGAAACCAACGTGGTCATTTGAAGTTGAAACCTTTAGATTCTTCGGCAATGTTTTGGTCAATTCATTTTTTTAAAAAAACAGCAAACCACAAATTGGTCCTGTGAATCCTGTAGATCATCAGGTCTGTGAGGCAGGGACTAGGAAAAGATGACAAGAGTACTGCTGCAAACACTCCATTCCTCCCCCACCCCCTGCTAAAGGAACAACTACTCGTTCAGAACTAAGTCCTGACTGCAGGGCTGCCCACAGGTCTGCTCTCTGAAAGCCCTGTAGAAAACTAGGGGGCGTGGGGCGGCGGAAGGCAATCATTTAGAAGAGATCACATTCAGTTTTATTAAAAAACCAAAACAGCTGGGGCATTGATTTGCAAGCTCTGTAATGCCATTGGTATGCCTGACCTGGCCAAGATATTAAAAAGATATTTAAGGAAATGTCAGTAAGTGTCTCAGGCTCAAGCTTCAGCGTTTTCCAAAAGCGTTATGGTGCTTTGGGTGATTGGTCTTCCCTTCTGTGTCGCTATGCAGAAAGAAAGGGAGGGAAGGTTTACAAAATGATTTACTGTGGCACATCCGTTCTAATGAAAGCATGTGCCTCTCGCCAGCCCTCCTGGCCCATCTGCCCCCTCCCAGATGCTCGGCCATGTGTCCCGTGCTCAGGGTGAGCGACAGTCATGTTGGTGGAGACCGATTCCCGGGAGCTGGGCTGTTAACAGAAATCCCAGAAAGCTCTGAGGTTTGTGGCCCAGGTAAGGCAGGCAGAAGGCAAGGGTCCATCAGTTTGGGCTAAGTGTTTTTAAAGATGCTCAAGTGGTATAGGTATAACCACAGGATGGAGTGAGATCAATTGTCTCCTCAGGGCCGGGAGGACTGCTGAGAGCAGAGTTCAAGCTTCATTTGTAGAGCTTTCCACCGTTGCTGGCCTCCCAGCTCAGGTCCTCCTCTTTCTTGCCTCGCTCCTGGCTGGCTGCTCTCTGGCTTTCAGCAGCAGCCAGGACCTCGCCTCCTAGCTCTTTTTCAGCTGCGCACGGTACTGCTTGCTTCGTGGAAGCATCTGCTGCTTTGACCATATGCATTTCTAGTCCCCTGCCTATTGCAACACTAGCTTAATTGCCTCTGCCTCTTGGAATGAAATCAACGTTTATTGAATATGGTCTATATGTAAGACATCCTGCTAGGCCCTGTGAATGACATAAATTTTTGTAAGATGGGTCTTTTCCTTAAAAAGTCTGTAATCTAGGTGTGAATTAATGTGTCCGTCTTATGTCCTGGGAAACCTTGAATAAGTTTCTTAACCCCTTTGTACCTCAGTTTCTCCATCTATGAAACAAGGGGAATAACAGTACCTAGGCTTGTTGTATATAAATGATTATGGGCAAAATGTTCACAGTTATACATGGCACTTCCTCAGCACTCACAGACATTAGCTAGTCTTGAGCCTCAGTTGAAGGAAAGACAGGAAACGAGGAGTGAAATAGTATCCATCTGCCATACTCTGTAGTAAGAGCTTTGTGTGTGCTAACTTAACCCTCACACCATCATGTAAGGTAGGCATCACTGTTACCCTTTCATTTTCCAGCAAAGGGAGGCTTGGCCAGGTGAATAACATGTATGTTCCCAGTGTTGATGAAGCCTACAGTGAAGGCCCAAATGACATAGTGCCAAAGCCAGTGATTTTGAAAAGATAAATAATTTAAAATTTAAATAATGTTTCCAGGACACTAGAAGACATATACAGAGGTGGTATCTGATTGATTTCCCAACAAACTGAATAGAAAGGCATTGCTGTGAGAGTTCACACCCCGGTGGAACATCAGGTAAGAAAGGCTAACTGGAAAGGGCAAAGTTAGAAGAGCATCTTGAGGGATGAGTGTGGTTTCAGAAGTGGGTGGAAAAGGCTCATTGACTGTGTGAGCAATCACGTGGAAGGAGAAAATTGCACCCTCTTTCTGAGAGATGGAGAACAAATTCGTTGACCAAAGCTAAAAGTTCAGGAATAACTAATGATGACGATTTGAATGCTGTCCTATATGCAGTGGAGGCTCAACTGAGTGTCTTAGCAGTGCCTTAGATAGATGTGCTTTGCAAGATTGTATAAAATAAGCTTGGAAGCAAGAGCCAGTTCAAGGGCAGTTGCAGTCCTCTTAACAAGAAGTATCCGTGGTCTCCCTGAGGGTGGTGGCAGGGGCAAGCACACACACACAAGGGGTGACTGAAGAGGGTTAACAAAGAGACTCTTTGCAGAGGTCTGGGTGGGGCTGGTCTCTGCCTTCATGGAGGGAGTCATTCTCTGGAACTAGCGAGAGCAGGCAGCTCTGCCCACCATGAGCTGTGAAGGCACAGAGAGCTCCGAGGACCTCCTGGACTTGGAGAGAGGCCGTCTCGGGAAGGCTGCCTGCGGGGGCTGGGACTCCCAGTGCAGGGACACAGCCAACCTGCCATAACCAGCAGTGAAGTTGCCAGGAAAGAAATACCCCTTCTTTCCCTCCTTCTTCTCTGCAGCCAGCGCTCTGGGCAAAGAAGCCCTTTGTTGTCATCCACACAGGCCGTCATTTCTGGGCAGAGAACAGGATGGAGACGAGTAAAGAGTGGACCCAAGGGTGCAAACAGAAGGCCTGCAATAGAAGAGGTTTGTCATGGGATTAGATAATTTCCGTGGCACAGTGCCTGGCCTACAGAAGATACTGAGTACTTGGTGGTTATTATTATTCCTTATTGTTTTTCCTGCTTTGAGTGGGTTGGTATTCATGTGACCAGCTCAGCCCCTCTGGCCTCACCACAGATGAACACATTTTCAAATCCCTGCAGTAGCATGAGAACTGACTCACTCAAAAGTCAATCAAGTTTTTTGCCAGCAATCTTTGGCCCCTATTTTTTTTTTTTTAAAGGAAATTTTTTTAAAATGTAAAAAGGAGACTTGGAAATCGTCTTTTTTAAAATGCAACCTTTGTGATTTGTTTTATTGGAAGTTCTTAACTGAGCAAAGGGGCTTGTTTGTTTAGATTGCTATGCAACAGGAGGCATTGAGTAAACGGTTTCTCAGTTTTTATTATTTTAAACTTCACCCAAGAGAAAACTGATGCAAGTTTAAGAAAAAGAGGAGGAATAGCATATAGTCTCTAGCAGTTTCAAACTTCTGTATGGCATTCCAAATAAAAGAACCTTACAACAAACATTTACATGGAGAAAACTACCTTCATAATTCTTACTTTCAAGGTACAATCAATAGGAAATGTCTTCATCCATGCAAACAGATTTTTCTCCAGCCAACTTACACACTCCACGCTAAAGAATCACTGAAAGTTGAAAATGTATCACTTCCAACTGACTATCAGTCAAAAGTTAAGGGCCCTGGGAGAATTCTTTTTCTCCCTTCCTGGTCTTCAACATTCACAAAACACTAACAGACAGAAGCAGTCAGAGGTGAAGGCAAAAAGAGGCACAGATGCCTCCTCAAATTCTCACCCTATTTTGAGCTCAGTCTTCAGTTTGTTTACAAAAGCTTCAAATGCCCCATTGAATGATTTTTCATTCTGCTGAAAGGTTTCTGGTTGACATTCATGTTGGTGCTGACTCTATCAGATTGGCAGCTTTGATGAACTTTCTGAATTTTCAGCCCGAGCTACAAGAGAAAATGCACATGAGTAGAGAGCCCTGAACTTGGTTAAATCAGACATCTGGAAGCCAATGGTGGGGAAAGAGAGCAAAGGTTAGGAGAAAAATAACACTCAGTAGCAACCAGCAAAACAAACTTTTGTCTGGAGCAACAGGAAGGCACAGCAAATGGATCAGTTTATATGGCATCAGCTCATCTTTTTAAAAACAATGTCTTACTGCTTTATCTAATGTCAGAATATACAAAAAAGTGTGAAGGGACTAAAAATAATTAAAATACTGCTACCCAAGGATGGCCAATAATAACAGTTTGACACATTTCCTTCCAGTTTTTTTTTAACATATGCATATTCCACACACATATGCATGTAAGATTGCAAAGAAATATAATGAATGTGTTTCAAACTAAAAAAACAGGGTAATTATACATGGGCAGTTTTATGTCTTGCATTTTCAACCTAACATTATATTTATGCATTTTCCAATATTATTAAATATTCTCAGGTGGCTGTTTTTATAAATTAACTGAATCACAAGTTTGTCCTGAGACGTGGCATCATTATTTAACCAACCTCATATTGTTGGCATTTGTGTTGTTTACAATTTGTACTGTTACAAAGACTATTTGGATGAATACCCTTGAAAAAATATCTCTGTAATTCTGCTCATAGGATAAATTTCTAGAAATGAAATCTCTGGGTGAAAGGCATTTAAAAAATGTAGGGCCCAAGTGGCCATCTAGAAAAGTTATGCCAGTTTTTGGTCTTGTGGGAAGCTTCTGAAAATACCCATTTCATGGCAGTCCACCAACCCCAAGAATTATTATCTTTAAAATCCTTTGCCCATTTGAGAGGTAGAAAATGGTGCCTTGGTATTTTGACATTTCATTTTCTTTTTAAACATTGGCCATGCCAAACCAGTTTTTGCCATTTCCTTTTGAGTGGACTGTGGAGTGCCAACTCCCTGAGAAAAGTTAGCTTCCATGGGACATGTGAATACAATGCTCTTAATATAAGTGTCACAAAATCCCTAGCAGCCTTCATTTTAATAATAATGCCAACAATGAATTCTTTCCTGTCACATTTTGTAATATAGTCATACCAGCTTTCAAAGGCTGCTGTGCCCTGGAAATTATGAGCATAGTTTATGGCAAGAGACACTGGCAGTTTTCCAACCCAGAGTGGCAGGTGAGCATCTCAGTCACTCTGAACCCACAGGGTGATAGGACAGGGACATGAGACTGAGTGACATGGGTACCCATCAGCAACCTGACACTTGTTCACTGCTTACACGTCAGGGGTTCCTAATCTTCATGTCAAGAATCTCTTTGACAGTCAGTTGAAGTCTTCAGATCCCTTCCCAGAATAATGCCTTTAAATGCATAAAATAAAATACATGGAATTATAAAGGAATCTAATCACATTGAAATACTGTTATCAAAATATTTATGAAAATCTGTGGTATAATAATATGTGTGCTTATTTATTAGGCACTAAATAACAAGATCTGGTGGCAGAGCTAACACCAGAATTGGAAACAACACAAATGCCATGTAAGTAAGATTGCAAAGAAATACAATGAATGAATTATATAAGGACTGTGAGCAAGCCCTTCATATCCCTGAACCTCAGATTTTCTTAACTCCAAGACTGCAGAGTGAAAATGAAGGTAAAGCAAATGATTTCACTCATATGTGGAGTATAAGAAAAAAGGAAAACTGAAGGAACAAAACAGCAGCAGAA